ATATATTAAGGTCATGAAATAAAGGAGAGGGGTATGGGTCACACGTGAGCAATAGTTAAGGGAAGAAAACATATTTTTTAATATTTTTTTATAATAATAATATTATTATTATATATTATTATTATCCTCCGCGCATTTTTCGCCCGAACATGTCCTCGCAACAAAATGAGCATCCTCCCTAAGTGAAATCAACGTTCCGGACGCACTGGTGTTATTTGTTTCGTCGTTCGAAGTCATTCAGGGTCATCTACACCACCTTTTTTAACAATCGAGTCAAAATTGACAATTCGTGTATTTAAAGCTCACCTGCGAAGTCGTGGGGAAATGGTCGTCCTTCCAGGGTAAAATCAACGTTCTGGACTCACTCACACGGTCTGTTTCATCGTCTGAGATCATCCAGACCATCTTGCTGACGATCGAGCCAATTCAAGCTAATTTTGCGTGCGGCGCGACAAATAATATTCGTCGACCCGATCGGAGTCGTATGACGTGCAGAATGTCAGTCGGCCTTCGCCTAAGCAAAAATTAAAGCCCGGCAGAATGACCCTGGCTACGTGCTCCTCAAAAAGTGTCAAAAATGTCTCGGGTGGGTGTCTGAACAATCAGATATTAAGGACGGGCCGTAAACTATTCTGAGTCATGCATGTGGACACCCTACACTCGTGATATCAAAAATTGATGCCAACAATTAATAGTTGTGGAATGACAAACAAGCTATTAATCACAAAGAACGACATTAAATTTACATGCTTCGTATTGGCAACTGAAAGACATGCAATGAATATACAATTTCAGATATCATTATTCAACTGATACAGCGGTAATCAATGAGAAAACAAATGAAATGACTAAAAATTATAACAGTATAAAGATACTTAGAAGGACTATACATTAATAAGAAAAAGTATATAAAACACAAGTTGAATGGATTTTATATTAATAATTATCAACCAACATACTTAGTAGAAAGGATAATATTTAGGCTGATAAAAAGGATGGAGGCCGCCGAGGAGGGAGTGATCCGGGAGGTTTTCGCGTGAGATCTGTCGCTGGAGAGAAGGGACGTCAGCGAACGCCGCCGAGGACCACAGATCGGCGGGG